ACAGCGTTTTCGCACCCTCCCCTCGCTTACCAAGGGCGCGAAAACGCTGCCTGCGGCCATTTCGGGTGTTCCGGTGGCCATTTTGGACCCGCTGAACAGCTGATCCGCGGGTCGCAAAGCGAAGGTCGGTAAACGAAACGCTTACCGATCTTCGCTATGCGAATTTCGCCCATTGGGGCCGACGTGATGCCTTCGCATTAGCAATCCCGGAAAAGGGATCGCTATGCGAATTCATCGCTGTACGATGATTAAGCGAGGCACCACTGTATATCAAACTTCTACAGTTATGCTGTATAGCCAGACCACCTACCTATCTGCCACAGGTAGAGGAAAAGAAATCTACAATGATTGTGATGATGATCACGATGAGGACACTGATGATAATGGGACAGCCCACATTCATCAGACCTATTCATGATGGCGATTCATAACAAATGTTTCCAAAGGTACATTTCTATAATTGGAAGGGGGGGGAAAGCATGAAGGAAATGACTTTGCACTCACCCTTTCCTTTTCTGATGGCCGTGGCTTTTCTGCTACTCCACTTCCACCATCTCCAGACATCTAAGTTTAAACAAAATGAAAGAAGATGAGCAAGCAGTATCTTAGGGTGGCCAACAAACAAAATCTGACTGGATTAACATGATGCATAAATTTCAAAGAATTGTCTGTTTCCTCAAAGAAGACGACGGAAGCAAAAATTGGCATACAGTATGTCCATACCAACAGAGTTTTCCCTGCAGGCCATATTTGTATTAATAGGAATGTTTTTGACCCAAGGGCATTTTAAAGAGGGGGCACAATGGAAATGACCCTGGGCCTCTCACAAGGGGTTTCACACTGAGAAGGGGTCACATTAGCACAGCTGTTGCTGCTTTGTTGCCAACTCCTTTCTTCCAGAATCCCATTGCCTTGAGTTTTATGAACCTCACGGCAAAGATTGCTCTGCTGGTGGCAAGAGTATCCTTTTGTCATGACAGCATGAAAGTTTGGACCAGACAAGTTATGAAAGAGCAGCTGAGAGGGCACAGGTGGGGTGGAAAGTGGTAGTGATGGAAACAAGATCTGAAGAGGGGGGGACACTGCACAGAGGTCATGAGCCTGAGGCAAAGAGGGAGGGCCATCTTCTCCAAAGAGCAGCCAGACTGGCAGCAAGTAGAGCAAGGCACTCACATGGTGCAGGCCTTTGACTTCCTGTTGCTGCTGATTCTCATCCTTCAACGGAGCAAAAGGAAGAAAACGGAAATATCAAGGGGGACCCAATGCCCCAGACAAAGACTGAGCTGCATATTATTATGGACAGGTCTTTGAGCCCATGGATACGTTGTTGGTACTTGGGATAATAGAAAATAGGCTCAAAGACTTCTCAATATGCCCTCATACAATAGGCAAAACAACAGGGGGAGGAAGACAAAAAGACAGATGAGCGCTAGCCACCACCAACCCAAAGATGAACATTTGCCAAACGTTTACATCCTTTTTTTCCCAGTCTGCCAGTGCCTTCCTGGGGACCTGTGCTTTCAGAAAGACCAGCAACTACTAGACCTCACAGAAAAACATCGCTTTTTATCCTCATGTCCTAAACCTAGTCCTTTTACAACCCCTCTTGCACCTTGAGAAGCTGATCATCTTAAACACCCTTCCTGCATTTCACCATAAGGACTGTTATAAAGAGTAGGAAAGGAAAAAAAAAAACGATTTTGGATTTACTGTCAATTATCAGTTAGGAATTGGTTAAGGAGAAGTAGGGAGGCATAAAGGTTTCTCAAAACCTCAAAGGGAGGTGTGATGCTAAAAGGGATTATGAACCTCTGCTGCAGAGGAATGTGACAAATTTGAGACTATTGCACATAGCAGTTTGAAGATATTTATAATAGGGACCTGGCTGAGGCTTCTATGAATGGTAGTACTGGGCCCCACCTTTATGTAACTCTCCCAATTTCAGATAGGGTGGTTATTGCCTCATTGCCATGAAGGAAGATGTAGAAAACAAGAAACAGAAAGAAGATATTCTTCACAAAAAGGAGGACTTTCTCTAGATGTGAATTTATTACTGTTCACCATATTGCACTACTTAACTTCCTTGGGACATAGCATTGAGAGAAAGATGAGATACAAACCAAACCAAACCCAACCAATTAAATCAATCAATCAATCAATCAATCAATCAATCAATCATCAATCAATTAGATTAATTAAGCATTCTGTTTAATAGTACTCTGAAATGCCGTGTGCCTTGTATTTTCCTGCAGCCTACTGAAAAGGAATAGAGAGAGAGAAAATAAACAGAGGTCACTGTCACTAATTGTTTATGTATATATTTAAAATGTTTACATTTATGTGGTATATCGTATTTCCATTAATTTTTCTGCATGGGAGGCAACTGGGAACTCACTGCAGCTTCTTGTCAGCAATTGACAAGTCCCCTTTTGGATTTTCAGATGTATGCCAACTAACCAGACTGGTGCATGCATGAGAAAAGTCCTGGTAAGCCAAGAATCATTAATTAGTAGTAACAGGTCACTGCAAGTTATGCTATTTGCCTTCTGCAGACATAACTACTGCATAGGATTTTGCCCAAGATGTGAAAAGATGAGACTCACTGACTCACTGAGTAATTTTCAGAAGTCCGAATTATAATCAGTTTCACACTTTATAGCTAAATAACAGAATTCCACAACACAGTTCTAGACAAGAAGCTGTTCACTCTCTATGATAAACATAATAGTCTAATATTTATATAGCCACTTATGGAAAAGTTGTACATTTTGATCAATTGTTTTTGTTTCATTAAAAAATTGTCAGCAAACAATGTTGCAATTCTAAATTAAGATACTTCTACATGTGTACTCAGAAAGCTGCCTGTTGTTGTTTGTTGTTGAGTCATTAAGTCGTGTCCGACTCTTCGTTAACCCATGAACCAGAGCACGCCAGGCCCTCCTGTCTTCCACTGCCTCCCAGAGTTTGGTCAAATAGAAAGCTGCCTACTCATCTGTATTTGATTTCTGGACAAACCCTACATCAAACATAAGCTTAGTTACAGGAAAGGTCATAATTGAGTCCCTCTTCCAAGTTTTTATTAATAAACATAAAAATAAAGCAACTTAAAAAAAATCTACATAAACACTTATTGTTCTCCCCTTCACAGGGATCAATGGAGATAATCTGTTCCTTTCTTTTATGGAGCCTGATTCCTCTTCCAGAAGTACATTGACTCTTGCAAAGGTACAGAACCTTATACATCAATCAATTAGATTAATTAGGCATTTTGTTTAATAGTACTCTGAAATGTTGTGTGCCTTGTATTTTCCTGCAGCCCACTGCAGGAAAATACAAGGCCTATCAATTTTGTATTATATCAATACAAAATTGATAAATTCTCCCCGTACATACCCAGACACATTCTTATTTAATACAGTATTCCATTTCTTACTCTAATTTCGCTTGCTAATTTATCATTAATACTCTGTTTCCCCTGTAAAAAGTTTGGAGACCCCTGCTCTAGTCCATCATTCAACTGGATAACATTAAACCATGACAACTCTTCCCTTCCTTCCTTCCACTTCTATTATTTGCTCTTTAGTATTCATCCTTTCCATCCTATCACTCTTTTATTCTAATAACCTGTTTCCTCCTTAATATTTTTGCCAAACTTCCTTTCAGATTCTCTGGGAATTTTTCTAACTTTCTTAAAGGCTGTAGTGGGGAAATTGATGGGATAAATATTTTTCTATATCTATTCCAGATTTGTATCATGCTTTTTTAAAAAAATGATTTTCAATCTTCTTTACAACACCAGTATTATTTTGTTGAAAAAAATTTTTTCTGGGTCGTTACCAAACTCTTGAAATTCCAATCTTGACCATATTAATTTATTAGATTGTATTAAAATAGCTGCCATATTTCTCATTTCATTAGCAGTATAATATAATTTTATATTAGGAAAACCTAATCCTGTTTAGACCAGTAAGTAAAGGTAAAGGTTTCCCTTGACAAATGTCCAGCCACGTCTGACTCTAGGGGGCAGTGCTCATCCCCGTTTCCAAGCCATAGAGCCAGCGTTTGTCCATAGACAGTTTCCGTGGTCACGTGGTCAGCATGACTAGACATGGAACGCCATTACCTTCCCACCAAGGTGGTACCTATTTATCTACTTGCAATTTTACATGCTTTCAAACTGGCAGGTAGGCAGGTGCTGGAACAAGCGACGGGAGCTCACTCCCGCGGATTCGATCTTACGACTGCTGGTCTTCCAACCTTGCCTCACAGAGGCTTCTGCGGTTTAACCTGCAGCACCACCACGTCTCTCCAGTTTAGACCAGTACTTTATTTTACTAATTCTTGTTTTTTTTATCACCATTACAACATTTGTTAATTATATTTTGCCAATCTTTAAAATCTTCCTCTAACAGCTTTACTGATATCATTCTGAATAAAAAATAATTTTGGGTAATATTTTAATTTTGCATATTGCTATCCTTTCAAATCATGATAATTCTGTTGTTATTAACTCCTTTAATTTATCTTTAACTTCTTGCTTTATCAAAATTTTCTTTTTAAAAAAGTAATAAATTTTTCGTCATGTTTATACCTAAGTACTTTTACATATTTTAATCTTAAATTGCCTTCTAGTTCTTTCTTCCTCATCTTTAACGTAATTAAACAACATAATCTCTGACTTCTGACAATTTGTCTGTAGACCTGCCACCTCCTCAAATTCTTTCAAATGCAGTTTAATCTGATTCATAACCCTCAATGGATTCTCTGTTGTTAATAATAAGATAATCTTAATGTTGTCTTAAGGTTGTCTTAGGTATCCTGTCTAATAGCTTCATCAATATCTCTATAACTATTGCAAATAATATTGGGGAAAAGTGACATCCCTGTCTAGTACCTCGACGTAGGGATATTTCACCTGTTAGTCCATCATTTACTAGTACTAGGAATTTTTAAGGAATTACTAAAAACATTTTTATTTAGACAGGCCTTCCCAGATATATTATACCTTGATACAACAGCGCTGAAATAACTTTAAAAAACAACAAAAAACCTGTAGAAACATTCTCCAAATAAAGTTGATTTACAAATTTTTTAAACGATTCCCAAATCCTGATTTCTCTATCACCTATTTTAATGCTGGTCATTCTACATAATCAAATGTTTGAATATATCCAGTGTCATAACTTCTGCCTTCACTTTTTGTTGGTCAATAATATGTATTATTGACTCTTCTAGTCAAATCTGCCATTTGTCACCGTACCATAAAACCATTCTGATCCTCTTTTATGTATTTACCAATACTGTAAAGTTATTCATTCTCCTTGCTAATAATGCTGAATAAATAAATAAATAAATAAATAACATATCTTGGCATTAAGGAAACAGGCCTATAAGCACTTGGATTAGACAAATCCTTATTAGGTTTAGGAATTAATATAATCAATGAATGCTTTCAATACTTGGAATTTATTATCTTTCCATAATCTTATTAAATAGCAATCTCAATTTTGGTATCAACGTATTTTTAATTTTTTTGTATAATATTCTGTCCCAATCCATCCATGTCTGGTGTTTTCCCTATTTTACTAATAATATATTTTATTTCTTTTTCTTTCACTAACTGCTCCGTTAAATCTCTATCACTCTCTCAGAGTTTATTTCTCATATTTTGTGTATGTTTTAATATGCTTAAACAATGGCTTATCACTTTTATAAAGTTTACTTTAAAATTTATGAAATACTTCCAAATTTTGTTTCATTCAATTTCTATTGATACCCTTTTCATCTCTAAACATTCCAATTACACTCTTTGCTTTTTGTTTCTCAGCCAACATTCTAGAATTTTTACTACTAAATTCAAAGTATTCTCTTTTCATATATGTTAAATTCCTCTGAATCTTTTCTGTTTCAATATCCTGTAGTTCTTTTTTTTTTGCTTGTATTTCTGATGAAATTTTAATATACCTGTCATTTATAAAATTCAGCTCCAACCCTCTTATTTCATCCTCCAGCTTTAACATTTGTTTTTCTTTTTACCTTTTTAAATTACAAGATTCTTTAATATTCAAACCCCAGATCATATACTTCATAGTATCCAAACTCAGGGTTTACTATTTCCTCTAACATTCATATTCCATATTTCCATCAATTCCTTCTCTATTTTCTCTACTATATGTAGATGTTGCAAAATACCTATATCTAGCCTGCATCTCCTAGCTTCTTTATAATCATGTGTAACCTTAAAAAAATTCACCAATGTGCGATCTGTTACTTTTACTAACCCTACATCTGTTTTACAAACTCTGGATTACAAATCTTTAGCTACAAATATATAATCTATCCTAGAATAATTTTTGTACACTCCATGCCTCAGTTCCATATCATCTACATCCCTACATATTGATTTGTAAACTCTATTTCAAGCATGTTACAAATAATATAATATTTCCCCAACTAAAGTCAAACATTGAACAATACATGAACTCCTCCTCTTCCTTCTTCTTCTTGTTCTGCCTCTTCATTTCTTCTTCTTATCTGCTTGACTTATCTTCCACCACTCCGATCATATCGTCCACTCTGATCATATCATAACATACCACCAGCAACTCCCTCCTGTTCCTCATCCTTCTCTTCTTCTTCCTCTTCTTGCTCCAAACTTGTAGCTGATTCTTTCTTTCCATCTGCTTTTACAGCTTCTTGGTCTGCCTGGATGTCATCTAGCAAGCCCCACTAATGCAACAAATCCACACCTTGCTCCACTGAAGTGATTATATGGTGCTTCCCTTAATAAAATACTTTCATATAGATTGGGTACCCCACCCCCAGTTATATCTTATACCATTCCTGATGAGCACCACATTTCACAACTCCATTGAACAGTTTCAGGGGAGATTTCTTGGCAGATCTGAATAGCTGCCTCTTTACATTTTACTGTCCAGACTTTCTTCTCAATGGATTCATTAACAATTCTTTTTTAATAAAAATTTGTGAATCTCAGCACAATATCCCTTGGGAATGTGCCAGATCATCACTCTGTGTGACACACTCTCTATGTTGTTTTCAGCCATTGAAAAAAAGCATCTCGAAGGTTCTTGACCTGTACTCCTGAATCTGTTCACTCAGAGAATCTGTAAATTCTCACATTTTTTCTATGATTTCCGTCCCTGACGTCAATAATTTTCTTATCAATTCGATTTAATCTTTCTTTCTGCTGATTGATTAGTGTTGCATTTGTTTTTGCCAACTTTTCAGTCTTTTGAACCTTTAACCCCAATGATTTCAAATCTTTCTTAATATCTTCTGTAGTTTTCTCCATCTCTTTCTTTAACTGTGTCACAAATCTGTGAGAGTTTTTTTTCCCCATAATCTGGATTCATTTCCCTGGTAGTTTTCTCATTATCAGCTCTCCTTTCTTTAACAGCTATTTCCATGAGTTTCTTAAATTCATTCCTCATTTTTTTTCTTTTGCCATTTCTCCATGTTCTTCTTCACTACCAGTCTTCTCAAAATCACCTAGTGTTTGCTCTTCAAAAAGTGTTGTCCTCTCCAATCTGCTCAAAATGCTATCTGAAGCATGTTTCTGTTCCTGAACCACCTTCTATTTCTTTTTCAATTGTCATCAAGGCACACAGCCATGTTCTTCTTTCCAACCAGTAGGAGGAAAACAAACAGTTTAGTTCCTTTCACAATAAAATAAAAGAAAAAGCAATTCTAGTTCTTTGTCTAGAGTTTCACTGGCACAGTTTCACACGTCAGAGTTCAAAGATTCACTTCCTGGAAAATTATCAAAGTGCAATCTCCACTGAAGTAAACAGTCCTCATATAAATTTAAAACGTTGACATATAGAGTCCAACAAGATTCAACTCAGTCAGATATTACAGTATCATTCACTCTTCCATCCACAGCTTTCCAATGCCAGTTTCACTCTCCAACTAGAAGGCATGGAGGAGATAAGGAACATAAATTTCCAGGCTAATGGCTTCAATCAGCTTCAATCAAGCGCTGCTTTCACAACAAACAGAGTGATATATTAGCTGGTGGAGACAAGTCACAGCTTTTCTTCACCTAAAACCATAAATCGACCCCTCCTTTCAGCTGCTCTGCTCTCTTCCAAATGCAGTACTGACTGAGGTAAACAATCATAAATATTCATAACTTTTAGGTCTTATCAGGATGCAGATATTTTCAACATCTTTATTACTTACTCAGTCCTTGTACCTTTTTCAAGGGTGCAATCTGAAGAAAAATATTCCAAGGCACTAGAGAGTGTCTGCTTACATTGCAGACACCCAGAGGTTCCCCCTCATCATTTATAAATTGCATGTATAAAGTTCAATATTTAATCGCCAGTACTTCTAGTTAAAGGATCTCAGAGAGGAAGGATGGCAAAAAAAACCCTCTGTGTGAGATTTTGGAGAGCGACTGCAATATAAATTGGATAAACACAAGCCTAAACTGATTATTGGCTTGATTCGCTATTTGGAAGAAACACTAAAGGAGGGTCCCAGAGCCTCTGTTGTTTTGGGCTAAATCTGGTTTGTGGAGATTCCTCAGTCACTCCTTCCCCTTCCTGAAGCTATGTCCTCTTAGAAAGGATATATGGATGAAGCTGAAGATCTTCAAGGTTAAGGAGGCAGCTTTGTTCCTTTGCATTTTCACAAAACTAATGCAGTACAAGGGATGTTATTATGTTCAAAAACCACAAAGGGCGGATCCACTTACCATATCAGAGTCATCTTCCTCTTCCTCACATTGGGTTTCAGCTGCCCGGGGATCTCCCTTCACTTTCAATTCTGCAATTACACCCTACAAAAACCAGAAACACAAACTTGATTAAACTTTCTCAGAGAGCACCCTTCCCAAGCATGGAGAAGTACAGCCTCCAGGCCTGCACACTAATGATTGTTTATATTTCTCATATGAATGTTAAATCAAGATTCCTTTCTGATATAAATACAAGTTCACTCCTAATCTCATTGGGAAAAGTTGCACTGCACAGAAACCCCCTGGTAACAGCAACACCAACAGCGGTCACATCACACTTAATTAAGAAAAACAGTTCAATGATATCTGGTTATAGCCCACAGATAACATGTCTTCATTAATCAGATCTTTGGTATTCACTGAAAAAATGTTTAAATAGAAAGATGGGATCTATGCAGGTGAAGGAGAGGAAGTTTACTGTGCCCTGGGGTAAAGAGCTTGGGTTTATTCCTTTCTGGTTTCCTTCAGATTCTGCACTCTCAGCACCTACAAACCACCTATGTATGGCATCTGCACACTTCTTTGTTGACGTTTCCTAGACCAAAAGGAACCATTAAATAACGGTGGGTAGTAAGTCTGAAACAATAGGGGTTTTGCTCGAAATGATTGTATTGTTGGTCCAGCTGTCTCTTAGCACATCCCCTTCAGCAGCACCCCCCCCACACAAAAACACTTCCAACTTGGAAATACATCATTCAAGCAACCATTGGGAAAGCCTCCATTTGGACAAGCCACTTCGAAATATGCTCTAAATAGGTACTAATCATGTTCTCTATTTTGAAGAAAAATGTGGAAAGTATAATTAAGACAATATATATATGGTGGATCATCGATTAACTAAATAAAACCACTATGTTATTCCCACACACACATGTAATATCAGTGCAGCCATACACACATAGTATCAGAATTTTATTTTTTATACATCAGTGTTTGCAGTGCAATATGCATTAATTAAAGGATGTTCACAGCAACCATCCATTATTTTGGTGCTAAAGTGTTCACACCATCTTTAGGACACATCACATGACATTCGAGACACACACACACACACACACACACTTCCAGCTTGGAACTACATCATTCAAGCAACCATTGGGAAAGCCTCCATTTGGACAAGCCACTTCGAAATATGCTCTAAATAGGTACTAATCATGTTCTCTATTTTGAAGAAAAATGTGGAAAGTATAATTAAGACAATATATATATGGTGGATCATCGATTAACTAAATAAAACCACTATGTTATTCCCACACACACATGTAATATCAGTGCAGCCATACACACATAGTATCAGAATTTTATTTTTTATACATCAGTGTTTGCAGTGCAATATGCATTAATTAAAGGATGTTCACAGCAACCATCCATTATTTTGGTGCTAAAGTGTTCACACCATCTTTAGGACACATCACATGACATTCGAGAAATGGACTGGTGCATCTGTGGATATAGATCAAGACACGCCTTTTATGTTCTTGCTCACAACCTCAAATTAGAGCCATAAATCATTTTTTGTTCCTTTATAATCTGATTTGTAGCAGTTTTTAATATAACATCTCTATTTGACAGCATCTTCATGAAGCTTTTCTGACACACTGTGACTGACTTTATAATAGGGGCCTTTCACTCTGCGTTAACAATCTGGAAGCTGAAAGCACAGCATGACAGTCAGGCACTAACGTATCGTTGGAATACGATGTTAAGAAAATTCCTGATTTTGTCTGCCAACAAAGCTGGTTTTATGGGGGTCACTGACAAAAATGACAGAGAATGACTTTGTAACATTTTACCTTAGAATTCTGCTCTTTAAAGCTGCTCTGGAGAAGAACTCACTGGTTTTCATACCACTCACATGGTATGTTAGGAACAGAAGTCACCTTCAAGCAGCCTCTTCCTTTCCTGCTCACAATAGACAACCATCATCTCCCCACACTTCCAGGAAAAGGTCTTGTCCCATACCACAGATTATATGTCCATAACAAATGTCTGTATGTACACATATTTGGCAAAGAATTACTAGTAATCCCTCCCCATCCCAAAGTATCAATCTTTCTTCTTGTGTTCATTTCTCAGGGTCTTTAAAATTTAGTATCAATTTAGGCAGAGCTCAAAATAATAACATTACATCTTAACAAATGGTAAGACGCAAGTGTACTTTAGTGTATTCCAGCGTACTTTAACCATCCCTTTTTAGCAATTATAATGCAGTGCTATGTATTTCCCCATTTCTGTCTGCTAAGTAGCAAGTGCCTCAGTGAGGAATATATGAAAATTTTCTAGACAAAAATAAATTGCTATAGCTCTAGGCATCTCCTCAATCAGATCATGACAACATCTGTAACAGATTGAGGTGTTAAGAAAGCCAAATCTTTCTATTTTTCTCTCAGTGAACAGGCAGTAGGTTAAGCAATGACCCTGCATTCTCAACCTGCCACTTCTAAGCCCCCCAGTTAATTAAACATGCCAGTCATAGTTTGTAAAGTAAATATAGTTTTGCTCAATTGCAAGTTTACAATAAGTCTAATAACCTCAAGGAACAGCATGAACTTTACCAAGTCAACTCAACTGAAATCACAGCTATCGAATATAGTAGGCAAATGAATTGAAGAAGCACCCACTAACCTGCCTCTCACACTTGAATTCCTATTGATAAATATAAGCTAATGGTAGCACTGCTTAGTGTTGAGTACAAATTAGAGAAGGATGGTAAAGTTATACCTGTGCAGAAAGTTTTTAAATTTTAAAAAGGACACCATCCCTTTCCCCTCACGTTCACTGTGCCCCTCTAACACACCACTAAAAACCATTCACCACACCCTGCCACGTCTCTGCCCAACCCACTCTTTTTTCCTCGTGCAAGTACAAACTCCTGCCAGGCAGAAGTAGCAGTTTGTGTGCCCTTAGATCTTGTTCTGGAAGACTGCCAAGCTCATATGTTCAAGAGCAGCATTTAGATATTTCATCCCACTGTAAAAACACAACACATCGTATCACCTCATGCTTTTAGGACAGAAGGGGGAAAGGACAGGCAGAAACAGGCCGGAGGGCTACGTGTATCTACACGACCAAAAGTAGGAGTGCAGATGATGAAAGACCTCAAAATGTTCCATGTACTGAGGCAAAAGCAGGAAAACTGACCCCCCCCAAAAAAGCAAACAGCTGGACATTTTCTGAAACAATCTATAAGTATTGTCTCCCACATTGTTCAAATATTTGTACTGAGGGTGAAAAGAACATGGAAGGTATCGGCACATAAAACAGGCAGCACCTACTTTAAGACAAGGAAACCAATTTAGGGAAAATATTTGCAAGTCCCCTTGCTTTCCTTTCTAGTGAGTTGTTAAATGCTCTTGTACACCTCTTTGCTTGATTTCAAGCTTTGGGAATTAAAAAAACACAATGTATTTCCTCCTGAAGCAATGACAGGCAGCCATGATTACACAGGCAATACAATGCTATTGCTATCATCCTGCATTGCATCAAACTTGGCCAAATGACAAGGGAAGAAACCAAATCAGGGTGGCTGATGGAACTGTCCTCTTTCTGACCAGACTTCCCAAAGATGGAATGAAGCAAAATACAAGTGGCTATGTACTGATTTCAGGTGATAGCCAGTGTATTTTAGTGGACAGAATAAGACTCAGGAGACCTGGGTTCAAATCTCCACTCATCTAAGGAAACATACAGGGGGAGGGTTAGCGTTTCTAAAACACTCTTTAATCTTGTGACACAGTGGTTAAACTGCTGTACTGCAGCTAAAACTGTGCTCACAACCTGGCGTTCAATCTCAGGTAGCCGGCTCAAGGTTGACTCAGCCTCCTATCCTTCCGAGGTCAGTAAAATGAGTACCCAGCTCACTGGGGGGGGGGGGAACTTCTTACCCTGCAT